CAACCCGAGATGCGATTATCCACCGCCGTCCTGCGTCCGTCGCGTCGGTAAGATGTGCCAAAGAAACCTGCTGTTCGCAAACCACATTACTCTCTCCGGTTTGAAACATCTACTCTATTGTGACAAGCTCTGACAGCCTGGCTCTTTAAAATCTATTAAACTCCACAGCAAACACTCCGCTAAAACGACTGTGGAATAATTAAGGAGCGCCGAGTTCACCGAGCCATGGAAATGGATGCAGTCATGAAAATAAAAACATATGTTAGCAGCTAGTGGCAAGGGAGCTGTACCGAGTGTTTATGACGTTGGACGGGGAACGCAGAGCGAGAGGGGAAATATCATCATTAGCACCACGCTGCGCAGCCTGGTCGCGGGCCGCGCTAATGCGTTCTATGTGCGGGCCAGGATTTGCACCGCTCTGACAGATCAGATATCTAATTCAGTTGCCAAGGCGCCGTCACCTTCTCAGACCCACCGACCACGACATCCACCACCTTCAAACGCTCCTCACCCCCCACACACACTCCTGTTCCCACCCACACACCTATCCAACATCACACACACACCGCGTCCTGCACTTCAGTGGGCTTCTAAACGGTTCCATGCCGTCGACGTGTGATGGGGGACAAATTAGGAATGCATGCACGCCCTCAAAGCAACATCAAGGCTTTGATTTCCCCACACACCCTTTCTGTCACCTTCAGAGTTCGACACGACATGACCCTACAGCGACCTATCAGGGGTTTTACAAGTGGGATTGACCACGGACAGACAGGTAGCAGTGGTGTGCGGTGGTGTTTTGAAAGAGTAGTAAAAACTATATAAATACTGTTCGTTTTCTCACACAAACCGCTCGTTTCGTGTCTTAGGCCATCAATGTGTACTTACATTTACGAGTCATTAAATCATGTTTAATTTGGACTTCTCTGTGCATGCTCTTTGAGGTGGTGACCATAGACCTCCATTATATGACAGTCAGAACGGTTTGACCTAAAAATATCAAAATTGAAATTACTGCGGAAACAAGACACCTACATCTTGGATGCCCTTGAGGTAAGATAAAACATACCAAAACTTAATTTCAAAGTGAACTATCCCTTTAAAAATGCATCACAGCATAACATTTAATGAACATTTATTTCATAAAATGAAAGGTTTTTTAGAGCGCCGTGTTTTTTTTTTTTTTTTTTTTTTGCTCTTTGAGGTGGTGACCATAGACCTCCATTATATGACTGATAGACACGAACGGTTTGACCTAAAAATATCAAAATTGAAAATACTGCGGAAACAAAGACACCTACAGATAAAACATACCAAAAATGTATTTCAAAGTGAACTCCCTTTAACGTGTAAAAGCTTCTAGATCACAGATAAGCTTTAGTTTCCATGTTGCCACTGCTCTCTTCAAATACCACCATTATAAATTAAAAAGAGAGTTAAATCTGGAGACAGAGCAGGCCGCTTAAGGACCAATCTCTAAACCAATTTTGGCCAAATTGGATGTATACTTGGTATCATTGTCCCAATGCAGAAGTACAATCACATTCTCTGCCAAAATGGCTTCCTCAAAGACTGTTGTTCATACAGTCAAAATTTACACTTCCTGCAGCAGCAAAGCACTGTAACAAGTTTGTCCACCTCCATGTTTGACCCTGGGGATCGTTTTTTGCCCCAGATATAACGCTGATCCATGGGTCCAGAAAAGTTCCAGTTGTGTCTCAACATTTTTCCAGAACAAGTTCCTCAAGTTGGCCTTTTATGTTCTTCTAGGTCAAGAGTTTGTTGATCTGTCCGGGCATGAAGTCAAGGCTTGTTTTGTGTTCTTACACGCTGTTAAAATGAATATGGTTTATCTAATCGATAAAATTGTGGCAACAGATTACAAGCAATATTATTAATTAAAAAATTAAGGAACTCTTTATTTTAAAATGCCAACATTGAAGACACCTGATGTTAACAAGCAGAAGGAGAAAACCTTCAAACCTAAAACAAACACTGATCACCACAATGGTGACTTAAATGTACGTTTTTTGTGTGTGTACGTTTTACTCATTTTAAATGGTTAACTTTTAAGGAATTAATTGTTACTCAATTCTGTTGTTAAATTGAATTAATAATATTGCTTGTAATCTGTTGCCACAATGTTTTTGATTAGATAAAGCGCATTCCTTTTTATTTATTAAATCGTTTGTTCCTCCTTTCATCAGTTTGTCATGCGATTCTTCGTTAGTAAGTTTCTTTTGTCTTGCTATGTTACATGCGTTGGCTTAATTTATATACGTTTAACAGCTCAAGCTAATTAAGAGCTAATTAAGTGTTAATTAAAAAAGTAAACTATTTTTTTGCTTGACATTATTTGCAGACCTTTAATCCTGTGCGAGAGAGAAAGACACTGATGGAGTTCTTTCTCTTCACACACTGGACTCAAAAAGCCCATCAGAAATCAATCAGCCAATTAGGTCTCTCCGTCACCTTCAGATTCAATAGGACACAGATGCCGTGACTCCCTCCATCTATACGTTTGTGTCAGAGATGAAAGCGGAAGCAGGGAGGAAGCTGGGTGTGTCGGAGGTGTTCTGACACTAATGTGGTACACTGGGCTTCACTTCCACAACTGTGAAGTTACTCTGTCAAGCTTTAAAAGGTCCTCTGAAGCCTTTGAACAACTGTGCGTGACCTTTTTTTGCCTGCTTTATTAAGCTTCAGGGGTTGCTAACTTTCATTGCACCAATGCACCGAGGACACACTGTTTTTATTATTTTTTTAGGCCTCGGTTTTGTTCAGAATGCCTTGATCTGACATATTTATCTTTTTTTAATGCATTCTATCCTGTCATTGAGCCGCTCTGACTAATGATCCTTTGTTGTTTAGTTAAATCACTCCTCGGTCCACTTAAACACTGCACACACAAAGTGTGACCCACTCGAACGTCGTTTTTCACAAGTTAAATGTGTGATGTAGACCTCTCCAGCTCTCCCAGGAATAACTGTTGGAATCGATCGCTCATTCGTTTTGTCTTTATTCTTCCAAGCAGTGCAATTCTAATAAATAACAAAGACAATTTAAACACAACTATGTCTATGCTTCACACTAGATTAATGAAGTTGGACCTCGCCGCAGCATAAGTTGCACTCGGAATCTGCCACGTGAATAATTAATACCCTCGCGGCATCCAAAGCTTTGAATATTCGGAAAAGATCTAGCCACTTCCGAATTCAAGAGAATGCCAGAGTGGAACTTCCTATTGGTTAGAACTGTGCGTCCCAATCTCGGCCTTGTTGCAGGAAATGTTCTGTAGGTTGTCATATTGCCAAAGCCTCCCTTGATCTTTTTTGGATGATGACGGACTAATCTTTGTGTTCGTTTCTTCGTTGAAACCGCTTTTGTTTTGGTTGTTCCCAAATGGATAATTGTGAGCTTACCGCATGGTCCAGGTGATCCACTTCAAAGGATATTCACTTCACTCGACATTATAGGTTAGCGTTTTTAATATTTTTTTTTATCAATTATTTGATTAAAAGGAAGAGTGCACGCAAATAATAAAAAAGAATGCATGCATGCTTTCTTTTGCATTTTTTTTTTTCAATTAAAGGGATGGTTCACTTTGAAATAATTTTTTGGTATGTTTTAGCTTTCCTCAAGTGCATCCAAGATGTAGGTGTCTTTGTTTCCACAGTCTTTTCAATTTTAATATTTTTCGGTCTTGTCTTACATTTGCGAGTCATTGAATCATGTTTAATTTGGACTTCTCTGTGCATGCTCTTTGAGGTGGTGACCATAGACCTCCATTATATGACTGATAGACATGAACGGTTTGACTTAAAAATATCAAAATTGAAAATACTGTGGAAACACTGTAGAAAACACTTGAGGTAAGCTGAAACATACCAAAAATTAATTTCAAAGTGAACTATCCCTTTAATGCATGCATGCATTAATTTAGTGTTAATGAAGTGTGTGATTTTTCAACTACATTATCTTGGCGTTTGCTGTTCTAGGCCAGACTTTAAAAGTGAATTAATCCGATTCATTATCGATATACAGGACACCATAAATGTTGACACTTTACGCTGTATGCTTTGTTAGTTTTTAACCTTTTAAGTACGTTAATTCTGTGCAAATGATAGACTCCACTACTGGTAAAACATGTCATGTAAATGAGTAAATGTTTCTTTTTTTCTCTGTTCACAGCTGAGAGAGGGCTGTTGAGGGAATAAACCTGCAGCTGGCAGGGGGGCATGTTCAGAAGAGCTTGTAAACACATTCACACCTCTGGTGCATTTCAATGCCCGATCACTTATAGCACAATATTGAAAATTCGAGTTCGACAAGCACTTGCATGTCAATACTGTCTGCGAGGAATCAACAAACTCCACCAATAGAACGCTTTCTGCTTTGGGAAGTTAACAAACGAGCTGAAATTAGGGTAATCAGTGGATGGATACTCAAATTTTTTTTATTTTAAATACTTAAATTTTGATGTTGATGTGCCAGTAAACAGTATAGGGATTTAATTTACACCTCTACCTCAGACAAACGTAGCTATGTGTGTTGTGACACTTAGAAAAAAGAAAGCTATTTTTTGTCATGTTATATTAAAATCATGAAAAGAGAGACAATGTGTTAAGGTCATTAAGTTATTAAAAATACCACACATTTTGACTTATTTGGCATGATTTGTTTAGGTGTCAAACTCGAGAAAACCTATTTTAAAACCTAAAAAAGAGTTTATATTATAAGTATTGGTGTACAGTTAAGTGCAAAGTATTTATACTTTTACATGATGTTTACACAACTTTTAGAATTTTTTTTTTAATGTATTACACAATCATGGACACAAATATTACATTTCTAAGAATGTGTTTAATACTTGATTATTTAACATTTCTCCAACAACTTTGATCTCTCTAAGTGTTTAATTTCGGTTCCACTTTATATTGTCTTTAACATTTAAAGGAATAATTTGATACAATGGATTTATTTTTTTGTGCATACATGTTTTTACATTGTGCGATAACACAATAAGTACATTGTACTTGTTTTTGACGTGAATACACAAAAGACAACTGATATAAAGTGCGACCTTAATGTATTAGTATTATTAATATGCATTTTAGTTTTGAAAGAGTCTCTGCTACCCCATCAGAGGAGAATTTGGTTATCTCAACAGCGAGTGTCTGGTTTTGCTCAACTGAAATGCACCTGTTTACGAGTTCATATGTGAAATTCGCAAGGAATTCTCACAGACTGACCGTGAAACGACGAAAGAGCTCAAGAAACTACGAGAAGCGCGAAGGAAACTGCTCAGACGGAGGAAAAGCGCATTCCGCGCACCGATGGACTCTCTCAGATCACCCTATCAGGTGCAAAACCACTGACAGGTTTCCACCCACCACCAACCCAAAACCCCTCAGTGCGCTCCAGCCCTCTTCGGCACACAGACAGACAGACAGTCCCGTCCCATCACCCAGCGCTCTTCCAGGATTTGCCAGGCGCATTTCGTGTAAAAAAAAATAAAAAAAACTACTTGGATGACAGTGAAGCAACATCTAAAGAAGATACTTATAACCCTAACTCATCTACCCTGACAGCTTGGACTTGTTGGGAAAGTTTTCCCCCTCTTCAAACAATGAACACGGGAAGCTTGGAATGATCCACGTAAGGTGTGCGCTATCCGGTGTCCTCGGCAGGTACGAACGGAATTTATCTTTGTTATATCGCCTACTGGATCAAGAATAAGCACGAAAGCTCGCGGATTGTTCACCGAGGAGGAGACACCCCTCGTCAGTCTTTTCCAATTCAATCTTTTGCGCGCTTTGGCGAGAGAGCGCGGCGCGCGCGGACCGCGGAGGGACCACACGGAAGACACTGATTTGCGTTTATTGCGATCTTTTTTCAAACAAGAAACAGCCTCATGCTGCTTTTACACGTCCTGCATCTCTCTTTTCCCTGGGATTGCACCTCTCCTCCGGGATTTTGTGTGTGAGACACTGGCGGGGCTCCGCGCGCCACTTACTGGAGCGGCAAACGCTGGAAACAGGTGTATTTGACCAAGATGTCGGTCCTGCCGTCAAGGTTCATCTACGTGTAAGGAATATTCTTAATAGTCTCTTTGATTCACTTTGAGTTCGTGCATTCTTGCCAATAGAAGTCGCTCAAAGCCAGGTTTAAGATGCACTGCTATATTTTTTTATCTGGTGTAATTGCTTATGATTCACCCCTCCTTTCTTCCCTCCCGTGTCTCTCCCCTTCTCCCTCTCTCTCTTTCTCTCTCCCTCTCATTCTCTCTCTTTCTCTTTCCAGGTGTTTACATTTACTGGTCCTCTACTTCCAGTTGCAGGTAAGTCTGGCTGTTTCACTGTCATCATGAATCTGGATTAAGGGAGGGATTATGAGGATGTGCCGCCGGTGCGCAAACACAAAGCTTGTTTCATTTGTTGTCTTAAGGTTTTTGAATACAGAGGCATGGGATATCTACACCCCAGAGGCTGAAAATTAAAAGAAAAAAAAAGTGCCTTTGGATTTGTTGGTGGTCTTGCCAGATGAATTGAAATTATCTTTCTCTCTCTCTTAAAAAAAGAGTCTGAGTTTTCCTTTTTGTGAAAAAAAAACGAGTCTTGTACTTGTCTAAAGAATAATTACTTCCCTCCCAATAGTTAGTAAACTCTTTGACTGATTTAATCCTGATTACAATAATAAGCAATTTGTGCATTTCATTTTCTATCTATCTATCTATCTATCTATCTATCTATCTATCTATCTATCTATCTATCTATCTATCTATCTATCTATCTATCTATCTATCTATCTATCTATCTATCTATCTATCTATCTATCTATCTATCTATCTATCTATCTATCTATCCTGTAAAAATATTGTTGGTTTAACTTAAAAAATTAAGTAGCCTGGCTGCCTTAAAAATTTAAGTTCATTGAAATGGAAAAAATTGAGTTAATACAATGAAGGTGATTGATTTAATCATCAGAAACTTAAAATATTATGTTATCTGAACTACATAAATTATTTAAGTTGATTTGACAAAGTAAATAATGTGATTACAAAACATGAAAACATTTTTTTACAGTCAGTCAGTCTATCTATCTATCTATCTATCTATCTATCTATCTATCTATCTATCTATCTATCTATCAAATAAATATATCCAACAAAAATGAAAAATGACCAAACAAATCGTATTTCCTTTTAAAAGCTAGACTAGCTGCAATCTCGGGCTCTTTTTCAGGAAGGTGACTAATTCAGCCGACAAATAAGTAATTAGATATGTGCAGTTCCTCAAATCCGTCTTTACTGACAGATGTACATATACCTTACAAGGCGGGGACGGCTTAATAAAGGTTTTTTTTTTCCTCCTGGCAAATGGGTCAGGGCATTGTGATTATAAAACTTGCATCAGGATGTCGTAATAGACGGGGGGCGATCACCCCTCCAAACCAGGAACAAAAGCCACTAGTTTGAAGAAAACGAGACCCATGTTGGTTATATAATTGCGTACGTTTTGTTCCAAAGCAGTTGGCACAAACAAGGTTTTAGTGTGGCACAGCCTGCTTTCCGAGTCCGTGATGACAGTAGTATCTATGATAGACGGAGGATCACCTGCTACTGCTAACCTTCGCTGTTGTTCTAGGTTCTCCCTGAGAAAACAAACACCGTTGTTATTAAGGAGATGCAGTGAAAGACGGGGCGATAAGCACAGTTTAAGTGGCGTTGTTTCCTGCTCAGAGAGTGGTGTCTGCAGATAGGGCCTATCTGACATGCAAGAGTGGCTGGGCTTCTTAGCTGGGACGGGGTCGGGCTTTTGAAGTCGCAGTGAGATCAGTTTGCCTAGGTTTGCTTTGAAGGGAATCGGGCGGCATGATAAAAATGTTTGGCCGTGGCTGGCTCTCTGTATAGGCATGCCCTCCGCCTTCCCGCTCCCGTCCGCATACACAACTGTATACAAAACACATCTCTGTGTTTGACTAGATTGCCAGATTTTAGAGTAAATCCTTCCGACTCTGAGGAGAGGCTGTGTGTGTGTGTGTGTGTGTGTGTTATCGCAAGCAAAAATTTACCTGCACTCTTAAAAATAAAGTTTTTTTCTGCAATGCCATTGAACAGCCATTTTGGGATCCAAAGTATACCTTTCAGTCAAAGGTTCTTAAAATAATCATTTTGTTTTCTTAGTGTGAAGTATATTTATCATATTAAGTCAGTTTTTTCCACTATATTGTGGAATGGAAATGTTGTATTGGTGTTAAAGGTTCTTGATGGAAGCATCGATGGACATAAAGCTTTATTTTTAAGAGTGTAGATCTACAACGTGTGATTTGATTCCAATATTTAACCAATATTGTTGGTTAAACTTAAAAAAAATAAGTAACCTGGTTGCCTTAAAGTTCATTGAAATGGAAAAATTGAGTTAATACAATGAAGGAGATTGATTTAATCATCAAAAACTCAAAATATGATGTTATCTGAACTACATAAATGATCTAAGTTGATTTGACAAAAGAAAAAATGTTGTGATCACTAATCATGAACATATTTTTTTTAATCTATAGGAAAATAATGTAACAATGACTAAAGTAAATTCAGTTTATTTTGCTAGAAAGATTTAGGATGAAGGTAGATGACCAGCTTGAACTATTAATAATAATTGTTCATTGTTTTTTTAACACGGAAAAAAACTGATTTTGTGACTACTGACTAAATGTTTTGGGGTTTGTTTAACCCCTTATTGCATGTGTTGTTTTTAACCATTCATGATTTTTGACATTTTCTCATAATTCTATATGACTGTCCTCTTTATGTCATTGTGTTTTTATTTATTGTAGCATAGACATTTATTAATACTGAAAATCAAAAGATTGTGGTCAGATATATATATATATATATATATATATATATATATATATATATAATCAAATACTTTGATTTATCAGCGATGCATTACGTTGATCAAAAGTGACAGTAATGCTACAAAAATGTGCAAAATATAAAAAAATATATGTTCATGCTTTGTACTCACAACATTTTTTCTTTTGTCAAATCAACTTAGATCATTTATGTAGTTCAGCTAACATAATATTTTAAGTTTCTGATGATTAAATCAATCTCCTTCATTGTATTAACCCAAATTTTCCATTTCAATGAACTTAAAATTTTAAGGCAACCAGGTTACTTCATTTTTTTAGTTAAACCAACAATATTTTTTACAAATCAGTATATTAGAATGATTCCTGAAGGATCATGTGACACTGAAGACTTGAGTAATGATGCTGACAACCCAGCTTTTCATCACAGGAAGAAATTACATTTGACATTTTATTACAATAGAATACAGATATGTTGTAATATTTCACAATATTACTGCTTTTACTGTATTTTACCGACCCCCTTTGCCAAAAGAATCTGTTGGTAACGCTTTACAATAAGGTTAATTTATTAAACATTAGTTTATGTATTAACTAACATGAACTAACCATGAGCAATACATTTTTTACTGTTTTTGTTAATCACATTAGTTAATACAAATCCATCTGTTCATTGTTTGTTCGTGTTAGTGCATTAACTAATGTTAACAAGATTTGAATAAAGTATTAGCAAATCTTGAAAAATTGACATTAACAAAGATTAACAAATGCTGAAGAAGTATCGTTAATGTAGTTAACTAATGAACCTTACTGTAAAGAGTAGCCAATCTGTTTTGCTTTGGATTGAACGATTCCTGCATTAATGGCGGTTCACGTTGACGTGTTTCTAAGCAGTCCTGCATTCAGCGTGAATCTCAATGGAAGTTTCTTTCTCAACTCTGTTGAACAGATCTCTATTTTTTTGGTATGGCGAGCTGCGTGTTTCCCCCTTCGCTCTCTAAATGTCATTAATTAGCTGAGGTTAAAATAACATGGAGTGGAAGCATGTAATGTGAGTGTAATTAACCACCTGAGAGAAGCCACATAAAAGCTCATTACAGGATAATTACCCCTCGTTTGAGCCCGAGAGAGTAGTCTTGGCTGGGATGGGGATTCCAGGGTTTTTAGAGGTATATGTTTTCCTCACATATGGAAGGATGACAGAAGAGGAGGAGGAAAGATAGAGGCTTTGGTGATTTTTGTATAAAGCCTCGGGTGAGTGTGAATGTGAGCGACAGCAGAGGCCATTGTGTTTTATTATGTTAGTGCTTTAGTGTGTCAGTGCAACAGTTGTGTGCATGTACTTCCCTTACTTACAGGTGTGTGTGTGTGTGTGTGTGTGTGTGATTTATGAGTGCGATTCTTTCCGTAGGCAGATATTTGTTTGATGACAGAGTTAGATCTTTCAGGTGGATAATTGCTGGAGACTTGCTAGTGGAAATTGAAAACTTCACTTCTCGCTGTAGCTCCAGGCTCAGAATATTCAGATGTTTTATTTAGAGAGAGAGAGAGAGAGAGAGAGAGAGAGACAGAGAGAGAGAGAGCCACCAAAACATGCAGGAATCACTGTGATCTGAACCTTTATTAAAAACATGAGATCAAAATTTGACCCTATTTACTTTCTTAATACACAATTCTGGTCTCATTGCACTGCAAAAATGAATATGCTTTATCTAATCAATAAAAATGTGGCAACAGATTACAAGCAATATTATTAATTAAATTGAACAAATTAGAATTGAGTAATAATTAATCAAATTATTCCTCAAAAGTTAACCATTTAAAATGAGAATAAAACAAAAATATCTGAATAACAGACAGACATCAAAGATTAATTAAGAACTCTTTATTTTAAATTGCCAGCTTTGAAGACACCTGATGTTAACAAGCAATCACTGAAGAAGAAAACCATCATTTTTAAAACAAACACTGATCACCACAATGGTGACTTAAATGTATGTTTTTTGTTTTTTTTGTATGTTTTACTCATTTTAAATGTTAACTTTTAAGGAATTAATTCGGTTCATTATCACTCAATTCTATTGTTAAATTGAATTAATAATATTGCTTGTAACACTGTTTTTGATTAGATAAAGCGCATTCATTTCTACAGTGTGTGAGTGATCTTAGTGCAGCATAATTTGCAAGTTTATAATAATCTTTCAGCAAAATGTAATAAATTGCTCTTCCTCTGAAACGACTACCGACATCCTGGCATGTAATGGACACTCTCCAATCAATTTATGAAAGCCTGCTCTCTCTTGATTCACATGATAAAAGTAAAATCTAAATATTTTTCCTGTAACTTGGATCAAATAAATATGCAAGCTCGTTTTCGCCACGGAATAAAACAATTTAAAAGATGATTTCGACTTTTTATCTCACAATTCGGACTTTTAATTTTTTACTATACCTCGCAATTCTGACATTTATCTCACATTTGCAAGTTATAAAGTCAGAATTTCAAGATGAAGAGTTCAGATGCAAAAGCTTCTAAGTGCCATTTGAAATTTTCTTCTAAAATTATAATTTTTATCAAGCTTGTATATTTAAGTTCAGTAATTTCACTTATATGGCAATGAAGATTACCTATTAATTGTCATTTAAGTGAAATTACTGAACTTAATATACAAGCTTGATAAAAATGGTCATTCTAGAACAAAATTTCAAATGGCACTTAGAGGCTTTTGCATCTGAACTCTTCAGATATAAACTCAAAATTTTGATTTTTTTTCTCGGAATTGAGTTTATCACACTGACAATTCTTACTACTTTTCTCAGAATTGCGAGTTTATATCACAATTTTGACTTCATAACTGCAATAGCGTCTTTATATCAAGAAATTCTGAATTTATGACTCACAAATGCAAGTTTATATCTCACAATTCTGAGAAAAAGTAAGTATTGTGAGATAACAAAGTCGCAATTACCTTTTTATTTCTTATTATGTGGCAGAAAAAGGCTTCCATAAATATATGCAGCCTTGGTTTAGCTCAAGAGACGTCTTTCAAAAACATTAAAAAAAATCTTCAGCAATATATTTTACTCAAATACCTTTTATCTCATACTCTCTTCCTTTTTTATGGGGGGAGGGTGGGGTAGTGGAAATTATTATATTGTTTTGATTTAAACAAAAAAAAATGCCTTAAATTGTTCATGCATTAATTGTCTGAATTAATTTTGGCAGTTGTGTCATGTTGACTTTCGTCATGTTAATGTGGTTTCATGTTGACTTTAAAATGCATGCAGTTACAACTGAATCGAGAAATATGTCAACACTTTTTTGTTGTTGCTGATTCTAGGAATCTCACCAGAGTTCCGCCGACTTCCGGTTCTACATCGAGAACCACACTCGAGACGACGTGAGTCGGAAGCAGGTACGGATATATCAGCTCTACAGCAGAACCACTGGGAAACATGTGCAGATCCTGGGCAAGAAGATCAACGCCAATGGAGACGATGGGGGCAAGTACGGTACGGGAGTGTTCCTGTGCTCTCAGATGAATAATAATTAAAAAAAAAAAAAAAAAACTCACATTTCACTCCGTTTCTATTCTGCTGTTAGGCAGGACGATTTAAAGGGATAGTTCAGCCAAATATGAAACTTCTGTCATCATTTATTCAGCCTCGTGTCGTTTCAAACCGGTTTGACTTCCTCCATTACATTTTTTAACCCCCATATCTTGAATTTTGGGATCATTCCCATGCATTGCATTTTAGGGGTTCCAAATACCTGGCGCTTTAGAACCTTTCTAACCTGTTTTCCTGCGACAAACACCTCCTTTGAGTGACGCGAATCTGTGGCGATTGGTCAGATGACCCAGACAGTTGTGATTGGTTAACCGTAGGCAGAGATTGTCTGCAACGGAACGCCCATAACCAGGATTATAGCTTGTCAAGTGTTAAAAATTGTATATAGTGTCTTCGTCAAGAGCGAGCTTTTCCGGCGAAACTCACATTGCGGCGGCTTTTGAGGGGCAGTGCTTATTATATAGAGCGAAGTCATATTTGGCTAAGTCGTTTAGGAGGTAATTGCCATTTTTCAATGAATGTCTGGTGAATATCAAAAACAAAACTAACTTTACCCCGCTGCACGGAGTGTACACAACACACACAACACAATATTATTAATAATACTTACAGATTGTGATTCGGAGGAGGACGAACCTGATCCATATACACTGAATACTGAGCCCTCCTTCAGGAACAACTGGCTTGCGAATCCACATTTGAATTCATTTATGATTTTAAACGATTCGTCATTAAAATGACGAGAACACAATCGGGCTATACTGTTGTGGTATCGTTGCAAATATGAACTCTAACCATCGATTCTTCACATGCTCGTCCCTGAGCAAAGAAAACAAGTGGCTGAACTGTCTTTGCAATGTAGAACACAGCGTCTTCTCGACATGACACGATTCAGCTGAAGTTTTTGAATGTGTAGACTTCAAGTTTACACTTCCGTCTGCGCGCCCAGTTGTTGGGAGCGGCCAATGACCTCTCTACGTCACGATGTAACAGCTAATGACTCGTTTCAAAAACAATGAAATAATCGATATTGAATCGAATATTGAATTGAATCGAAATCGAATTGCAAGCTTGTGAATCAAAATCGAATCGAATTGTGAAATTTGTCTCAATACTCAGCCCTAGTATCTACGTCACGACGAAACAGCTATTGACTCGTTTCAAGAACAATTCATTTCATAGACTCAGAGTCGACTCTCACTTTTAAAAGACAATAACTTTATACACGGTGCACTTTCAGATAGAAATCTTTGCAGGATGTTTTCATTCCCTTAGAGCTATAGTCCACACCACATGAACAGTCATTTTCAAAAATCCATGATAGGTGCTCTTTAAAGCTGTCTCTTGCTTTTTAATTTACTATTAAATAATTTGTCTAATTTTATAGTCGCTTTCTACAAACACAAAGTTCTCTCAGCTCCATTTAACAAATTGTGCCATGTTTAAATAGCATATTTCCCCAGATCAGCATTCCATCTGGGCCTGCTAATATCATATCTAAGATGAACTTCTTCTCTTTAACATCCAACCTGAACCATTATTAATCAAAATGTATCAAAGTATAAACAAAACAAAAAGCGCAGAACTGATGGGCAGCGTGCCTCGGCGGTACTAGTGTGAGAACAGAAACTCTGTGTGAAGATAAACACACACTTAACTAATACAAGCATGTTTATATTGCAATCTTGTGCGCGTGTGTGTCAGTCAGAGCTGTTCAGCGTAAAGATTCCACAACAGACATGACTCTATAAACACGACTGCATAATGCCGTTTCTCATACCGTTTTATAATCCTGGCATCCCATTTCTGTTTGACTCTTCTTAAAGGGGTTTTATTCTTATATCTGTGCTAAACCGAGTGAGGATAAATGGTTCAATGTGCATTTTGTATCACATTAGATGAACATCCCTGCTGGATAAAAAACAAAACCAGTCTATGCTGTCTTAGCTTGTCTTCTAGCCTGGTCATAGCTGGTTTAGAAGGGGTTTGGCCACTTCTTTGAAACCAACCAGCTACACCCAGCCTAAAGGCCCATACACACCTGGACGAATATATTCGCCAGCGTTTTTCAACGCGTTTTTTTTGTTCACACCCAAGCGATTTTCGCTGACGATGAGCCGAGTGAACATGCAAATTCATTCCCTGACATTAGATGGCGCCCATTTGCTCTGCAATACCACTCCATACGGTTCTCTTTTATCAAGATGTTTGTAGTCGCGTTTGTCATATAGTTCTTTATGTTCCAACACCAACGAGACCAGCAGCTCTACATTCATCTTGCCTCGCATCTTCCTCGTCTTATTTCTTGCTGGCAGTGTAGACCATAGATATGTATATAAAGGCTAGATGTGTTACGGCGGAGTTTCCATCGTCATCACCGGCGGCCATCTTGTCACAGACAAGCTGATGTAAGATGAATGGTCAGCACGAACACAAATACTCTTATCTCGTGGAAATCTTGACGGATTTACAAACGGTTTGGTTTCTTACAAACGTTATTAACGTGGCTATAATTATCTGGATGAAGTATGCAGGGTCAAAACTACATCTCTGACGTTTATAACAAAACAAACCGTTTGAAAATCGGTAGAAAATTGAGCAAGTTATGGTCATTTAAATAGTACATGCACCATTCACACAATGTTACGAGTGAGCGAGCTGCCTGTGACAAGATGGCCGCCAGGTGCAGACGTCGACCTCCATTGGCCAGCAGCGTGGACGACATATCTAGCCTTTATATAGATATCTATGGTGTAGACGGCGACGCTAATTGGCGTATATCTTCTTCTCCGTTACGTATGTGTGCTCGGCAAAACCGTTTTGTGTTTGAGCGCCCCCAAGTTGTGGTTTACTGTAACTTCAGAAGCTCCAAACGCGTGAGCAAAAGCGCCAATCTCATTGGTCGCATAGTTTTTGAAACTAAAAAGACGAACCCGAGGCATTTTTTTTTTAAACGCGTGGCGTTTTACACGTCGGTGTGCACACTCACATTGGCGCCCTTTGTTTAGTCACGAGGCGTTAAACGTTGGCGAATATCGCGCGCAAAATTTGTCCCCGTGTGAACAGGCCTTAAACCAGCCAAAACCAGTTTAAACCAGCCAAGACCAGCTTAGGCTGGTTTTAGCTAGGGTTTTTTTTCTGAAGGGAGGATCAAGAATGTTATATATTGATGGCATATTCACCTACAAATGCAAATTCTGTCTTCGTTTACTCTCCTACAAGTTGGTCCATACGTGTGACTTTCTTTTTTTAGGAAGTTTAAGTCATTATTCACTTAAAATCTTGATATCAAACTTAATTCTCCTTTGCACATGAATGAGAAAAGTAACAATGCCTGATTGGTGATTGAATCATACAGATTTTGAACAACCCGAGGGGAAGTAAATGATCACAGACATCCCGTTTTCATTCATTTAGGATTTGTTTGCTAGTTAAAGGAGCTGTATATGCAAGACATTTATTTCCATTAATCATACAATTTCCCTGATATGTCACTAGACGTGTGGCTAGTTGTGTTTTCAGCCTTGCATTGAGTATTTATTTATGGCAATGTTGATAATGTTCACTATTCATTTATTCATAGCTGAATAAGTTAAAGCTGATGTTTTGATGAAGTTAAAGCTTTTGTTATGATGTTAAAATAGGGTCTAGTAAGTATTTATTTTAATGATGGTTGTGTTCTTTATTCGGGAAGTATTTACAGCAGTGTCATGTTTTGGCCCCAACAGCCGTAAGTGTTTTTAGCAGTTCTAGCTGTTGTTTTCTGCTTAAATGTTTTGAATCTCCGGAGGGCGTTTTAGTGAAGACGGGACAAAACGGAGGACTTTAGAAACGCCGACGCAGAGGCTCACGCTCGGCTCTATGATTGGGTGTCATCATTAATGACGTGTCCTTCCCTGATTAGTCAGCCACCGTTTACACCGGCGCGCGCATGCCCAGTGTTGGCGAATGGTCATGTGATCCACGTTTTCAGTCGTTTTAATGTGGACGGAGATCAATTATAATACGCAGATAAACGTGGGTGTGGACAGAGATCGTATTGGTTTTAATTCTCCGTTTTTAAACGAAAACGCAGTAGTGTGGACGGGGCCTAAAACAAAAAAAAAAATGCAGGATAGAATTGATTACCCATCCAATATTCAGTTTCACTTGGTTTACAAAATGGCTGGTTTCACATTAACTTTAACAGACAAGTTTTCTGGAAAATGAAAACAATATTTGAACACTGACACGAGGCACACAGTGCTGGATCAGATCTTACACTCGTGTGGCTCATTTATCAGAAAACACTCGCCTTCCCAGAAACATCTCAAAAATGTCTTCGGTTTCACCCCTGTTTGACTTTCACATTACTGTTGACATCTGTGCTTTAATATTAATAAGGGCTGATGCACATATGGAGGGCTGACTGCTTTGAACATTAGTTTTAGGCGCAGTGGTCATTTAAATACAGGCATGTTTCAGGCATATCTTTTAAGGCGTCGTCATGTTCTTGAAACGGGGGCTCTGCTCTGAGGAGTGGGATCTTTCCCACCCTCATTTGATCTCAAGTGCCCTGCCTGGATTAGTCGTTCCTCTCCTGTTGCCCTGGGCTGTTTTCGAAGGGGACAGTTTTGGTGTTGCTCTCTAAGCCTCTCTGCTTTGAGCACCTTTGAATAGCCCAGTGTGTTAAACAAATGGATCATCCTAACTTTTTGATTGAGTGAGCACGAACTAAAGGCAAGTGGAAACCCAATCCCTGGGGATCTGAACTGCTCCAAGGAGTTTGGCAGATTGCTTCCCCCCGAGAGAGGGGACCCTTAACAAAGGTGCATACAGAGAGAGAGAGTTTGGTGTTTTAGTATTATGACAGAGCTGTAGTCTATATGATGAATCATTAAGTATTTTTTTTTTTTTACACTATAAAAAATATATAGACGTATATAGACTATCCACATACTATTTCATGTACCAAATACTGCATGAAAAAAAAAAAATATATATTTTAGGGCTGTCAAACGATTAATCACGATTAATCGCATCCAAAATAAAAGTTTGTGATTGCATAATATATGTGTGTGTACGGTGTATAATTATTTTCTAGGCTATATATAAATACAAACACATGCATGTATATATTTAAGAATTTTTTTTTTATATAATATCAATTATATATAAGTATATATACACAGTATATACATGCAAATATTTCTTAAATATATACATGCATGTGTGTGCATTTGTATACAAAATAATTATACACATAATATATATATATATATATATATATATATATATATATATATATATATATATATATATACACACACACACACACACACACACATATATCCTATATGCTATGTGAATAATGCTTCTTCTGAATAATACTGAATGATACGGCTTCTCTTGTACATCTACATAATATATATAACAAATACATCAATGACATCTACATAATAAAATAAATTACAACAGCTTTCCTGATGAATGAAAAAAAAAAGGTTCAGGTCATATTTCACTGCAAAAAAAAAAGAAAAGAAAAAAAGAAAAAGGAAAAATAAATTATATTTTGTATATATAAGTATTAACCATCACGAGTCTGACCGTTTGTATATTGACAATATTTTCATTGCAAAAATGGAAAATAAATAAATAAACAAAAAATAAAAAATACATCGATTTTTTTTATGACAACATTGTTTAAATACTTTAATATTGAAATAAAATAAATAACATTATAAATATTTTAAATATGTTTTGGTATTATGGTCAAAAGAATGTGCAAAAATGTCATGAAAATAATGTCTTAAGAATACATATATAAATAAAAGTTTGTGTTTACATAATATATGTGTGTAGTGTGTATAATTATATTGTATACATAAATACACAGACATCCGTGTATATATTTAAGAAATATTTGCATGTATAATGTATATATATTTATACATTTATATTAAATATAATATAAAAATATAATATATAAAAATATCTTAATTGTGTAAACTGTTTTATTTTTACCTGCAGCTCTACTTGTTGTGGAAACAGAGACATTCGGGAGTCACATTCGAATAAAAGGGAAAGAGAGTGGATACTACATCTGCATGAACAAGAACGGCAAAATTATTGGAAAGGTATGTTTACTGAACTGGATTATAATATGACTCAGTGTGATCTGTACATGCAAACAACAGGTCCGATTTTTTACATTTGGGCCACATTAACTGATGTGAATGTAACGAGAAAGTGTTTTTGGTTGCTGTGTGTGTGTATTTGATTTACTCATGAGCTGATGTATTGTTGCATCAAGTGTTGCATGTATAGCATGTTAACTTGATGTGTGAGCAACAGTGTTGTGCAAGTTACTTCCAAACTGTAATACATTAGGTATTACTTGTTACTGTTATTTAAAAGTAATTCATTACCTTACAATATTACTGTCCCAGAATTGTAATGCGTTACATTACTCATGTATTACTTTTGAGTTACTTTCACCAAAATAACTAAGTAGAACTTAACTTTTGGGCTGTAACGATGCAATATGAAACCGAAATCGCGATTTGCCACACGACTCAGATCCACGAACCTACAGAATCGCGACACACCTCTTCCAACTCCAGCGTTATTCTCCTTACCGTCCAGATCCAATGCTGCCTTATCTTTAAATTAGGCTATTAGTATTATTTGAAGTTAACATTATAAAATACGTAGACCTACACCACAAAACTAGTTGAGGATAAATTATTTCAAATTGGGGAAGTCCAGCATTATGGACATGATGACATTTGCAGTCAAAACTTGAAATAAAAATTCTCAGAAAATACATGTATTGAAACGTATATAGGCTACTTCCTTAAAGGACTCCAGACATTAGACAAATATCAGTCTATGTTTTATTTTTAATATTAGGCAAAAGACAAACATTCATGCGTGACAAAAAAATAGGAGGTAAAATATATTTTTTGTAATTCTGTTAATTACACTGCGCAAATCGGATGAGGAAGGGTTGGCTCTCCAGTCTCCATAGAACTTAAAATATTCATTTTATTTTAGTTTTCGTGTTCGCATTTATGAGGAAAAAACAATGTTACAGACGCGACCGCTCTGAACTGGCACTAAAAGACTGCTTTAAAACTTTCACATAGTCTGTTGCCTTTAAGAAGTAAAAGCAGACAATACACTGTAATACAACTGTAATACAAGCCTCACTGAACATGTAACGAGTAAAATATTACTGAAAATTGATTAGTAATGCCTTACACTACTGCGTTACAGCAAAAATTAATATGTTACTGTAATGTATTACTTTTGTAATGCGTTACTCCCAACACTGGTGAGCAATGTATGCACTGCTACTGGACCAACTCCTGATGTTACCTAATGGAGCCAGTCAACACACATTTTCATTCCATCCATTTAAACAAAAATGAAATGTCGAGGCTGCTGTTTGACCTTAAAATTGTCCCATTTTCCAAGTTCTTGTAACTGCCATACCACAAACAAATCTAAGTGGAAAGACCAACACCCCTTAAATGTGCCATGAATAGGACTTTACGTGCTTCACTGGCTTGTTTTGAACTGATTCTGAGTTGAAGGGAACAATTATTGTGTCTTGTTGGCAAAGAGGCTAGTCATTCTTTTAAAAAAAACACGCTTTGTAAGACATGTATCTGTCCAGTCATACAGCAGATGTGTGATAATCAACCAATGAAATGTGATTTTGCTGAATTTGAGACTGGTAAAATCATCATACACTCTTAGAAGAAAGGGTTCTATATAGAACCTTAAAAGGTTCTATCAGCGCTACGTATTTGGAACCCCTAAAAGGTTCTATACACTCATAAAAAAGGGTTCCTCTGGGTTCTATATAGAGAGCCTAAGTCCCTCCCCTTTCAGTCAACCAACATGGGATCTTCTTTCGGAAAAATATTGAATGGTAGTCAATGGCGAGAGACAACAAATATTTTGATCTCGTTTGAATTGTGCCCTGAATTACACATATGATGTTTGTCAATTTAATAGATACATTTTAAAGTAAAGAAAGATGTAAAAACCGTTGAGGTATAAGACTGTGAAAATACGTAACTACAAAGACTACAAACCCCAAAGGCGCACATTTTCTCTCAATGAATGAAGCTAACTTTACTGAGGCTAATGTCTGTCATTGTTTCTATAATCTTACGTTATAATCGCAACGTTACGCCGTCATACCTGAGTGTTTTGTACCAGACTGCACACACACGAGCAGCGGATCTCGCTCGTTGTTTTGCTTCCCGGGAGATGTAGTTCATAGAACGATTTTAAAATAAAACTAAAAGTTAATCTTCTGTTTTATGACAAACGGTGACGTTTTTTACTTTCAGAATTATATTTTAAATTGACAAACATCATATGTGTAATTGAGGGCACAGTTCAGACGGAATAAAAAGATAAGTGTTCTCTCGCCATTGACTACCATAGATATTTTTCCCGAAATAAGGTCCCATGAGCCGGAAGCGGAGGCGCGGGACTTAGGCTCTCTATAGAACCCTGGGGTTCCATACTTGGCCAATAGAACCTTTTACCCTATATAGAACCATTTTGGAGTTCCATATATGAAGTGGGGGATGGAACCATTTCTGGTTCTAAATAGAATCATTTCTTCTAAGAGTGTAGATTGTTTTCTATATTTTTCTTTAGATTGAGATATTTATTTATAGTTATTAATCACTCTCTAGCGTACTTTAGGGTACAGATATCCTGATTTCAGACCATCAGTTGAGGGGTTGTTTGAATAAATAGGCTGTTTTCTGACATTCGGTCTTGTCCTCTCTCCTCAGCCCAATGGGAACAACCAGGAGTGCGTCTTCGTGGAGGAATATTTGGAGAACAACTACACGGCGCTGGTGTCAGCCAAGTACAAAGGCTGGTATTTGGGTTTCAATCGGAAGGGTCGACCCAAAAAAGGCTCCAAGACCACGCAGACGCAGCAGGAAGTGCATTTCATGAAGCGCCACCCCAAAGGAAAAGTGGACCCTCTGGAGGAGTTCCGTTACACGACGGTAACCAAACGGACACGAAGGGCGCGGCGTTTAAAAACCAACCCTAAAACGAACTGAGTCGGTGAGGATGAGGACACTACGTGCTTCTTGCCTAACAAACACCTTTATCTTATCCGAAACAGGAAAAGGAAGAGGACGCAAATGAGCAATTGCTACGAAAAAAAAGACAAGAAGCTTAAAAAAAGATTTTATTTTTATATCGAGTTTCTCCCAGCAGTTGAATGTGGGTCTTTTTTTAAAATGTAATATTGGTGTATGTTATTTTATTTATACTGGATTAACTAAGGATGACCTATAAGGAACTAGCGTCTCCTGCTTTGACTTTTGGAATAGCGACGAGAGCAAACCGCACCGCCTGGGAAACCGCCTTTTTTATTTGCCCCTGAGAACAAGGATCCAATATTTTCCACTGGAATGGGCTGTCATGGAGAGAAAGATAACATGGTCATGTGACCTTTGCGAGCCTCCATAGGTAAACGTGAAGCTTTGAGTGCAATATTTTAAAGATCCGTGTCGGATGCTTTTCTCGTCTGAGCGGACACCGAACGTGCAGAACGCTTTGATATTTTTGTTTGATATTCTGTGATTCAGCTTAGATCAACATGCATTGACTAGCTACATATCAGCATTAGCTGTGGTAATAGTGTGTGTGAGAACCAACGGACGGAAACCGGAATACGTTTTTCGGGAATTGCTGTACAGCTGGATATTTGCCGTCACCCTGTGCCCTTTCTAAAATTTAGCTACCAAAACATGTTTAAAGTCCAGGTATGACGCATTGCTCTTAATGTCCCTGATGCTCTTTTAAGTGTGGGATTTTGACTACTTCCAGGTCATTAAGCCAATGAAATCGGTCCACCTGACAATCGGTCATGTTCTATGTATTCTAGAACACTTGCTCTCAGTTCTAGAAGGTTGGAGACACACAGAGGAAATCCCTTCTGCAGACGCTGGACTCCGGCCACTGTTGGTGCGGTCGACTCTCCATATGGGTATAGCTGTAGTATTCACACGTCTATATACTCATCGTCTGTCAGACGTTACTAACAATCATGACACACGTACGATTAAAAAAAAAATGTATGCAAAAAATAATAATTTTATTACTATTATAAAATATTTATTGCCTTTCTCTGTAAATATGACTTGATGAATTTATTTGACCTCTGTTAATAATAATAAAAAAAGAGGACTATATATGGAAAACGAATAAATGGTATCAGACTGTTTTTGTGGCGTTCGGAAATGTGGATGTGTGACTACAAATATTGCAGTGATAGAGACTCGACTTGGACTTTATCTCTGTTATTTGACTTTAGACTAGTCTCTGCTTTCCACTACTCACAAACTACCTGCTCCTTTAGACCCATGCCGTATGATTTCATAATCAAATGTGTGAGTCAAAAGACTCGATTCAGTCTAATGTGTTATTGAAAATGGGACTAATTCACTCTCTGAGGTGTGCATGGTTTAGAAACTGTCAAACTGTCAGGTTTTGTATTAGTTTTTAAAATCACAGCTGCATCAGAAACAACACTGACATTTAGATATTCAACATTTTGATTCAAATTCGATGGTGCATCCCATAAATCTGTAAATACTTAAAGGATTAGTTCACCCAAAAATGAAATTTCTTCCTGAAGCTCAATCGTGCCTTGTAACAGTGTTGTAGTCGAGACCACCTCACTCGAGTCCGAGTCGACACCGAGACCAGAGAGAGTCGAGTCCGAGTCAAGACCGAGTCCATAGAGAGTCGAGTCCGAGACCAGTGAGGGTTGATTAGCCTACCTAATTTACTTTTATTTACTTGGAGAAACCCCTTTTTTTTTACTGAATTTAGAGTTTAAAAAATATGATCAGTTTAGGGTAAAAAGGCCACATAGTAGGTGGTGTTAAAAGTAATTTTATTACAATTTGTCATGCGCAGTTGCGCACTAGAAAATCACCAATCACTGGGCGTGTCAATCAATTTAAAGAAATATTTTATTAACATACATTATTAATCATGAAAAATATTTTTAATTGAACTCGAGTGGACTCTGGAATAATTCCGAGTCCTAAAAAAAAAAATGTTCGAGTACGAGTCAATTCCGAGTCCAAATGGACACGAGTCCATGACAAGACCAAGACCATTAAAATATGGTCTCAAGACCGAGTCCGAGACGAGTCCGAGTCTCGAGTACTACAACACTGCCTTGTAACACAAGAATGAACCTGATTGGTTCTTGCAGAAGCTCAAACGTGCTGCGTAACACGAGAATGAATCTCATTGGTTCTTGCAGAAGCTCAAACTTGCTGCGTAACACAAGAATGAACCTCAATGGTTCTTGCAAAAAGCTTAATTGTGCTGCGTAACACGAGAATGAATCTCATTGGTTCTTGCAAAAAGCTTAATTGTGCTGCGTAACACGAGAATGAATCTCATTGGTTCTTTCAGAAGCTCAAACGTGCTGTGTAACACAAGAATGAACCTCAATGGTTCTTGCAAAAAGCTTAATTGTGCTGCGTAACACGAGAATGAATCTCATTGGTTCTTGCGGAAGCTTAAATGTGCTGTGTAACACTAGAATGAATCTCATTGGTTCTTTCAGAAGCTCAAACGTGCTGTGTAACACTAGAATGAACCTCATTGGTTCTCGCATGTCACGCGAACACATGCTTGAGCTTCTATTTACTACAACTGATGTGTGAGTTGAAGAAAGTTTATATGTGAATACAAGCCTAAATTAAATCTGGTCAGTGATTGGGTCTCTTCAGAAATTTTGGTCTAAACTCCTCAATTCATACGGATTTGTTTTACAATATCTTTATGAACTTTTTGAAGCGTCAAAGTGGTAGTTTTCATTGTTGGGTGAACTAACCCTTTAATAATAATTCATAAATTCTGGAATTGTATTTGCTTGTTGCAATCATTGTTCCTGTGTATTTCCAGATAACTCTTGCATGTCCTTCATCTTCACAAGCACAAACTCTGTCAGCACAATCTCCAGATACATAACACTGGAATCTATTGACACAGAGAGAGAGAGAGAGAGAGAGAGAGAGAGGAACTGGGATGCTAAACATTCACATTCAGTGCCATGATAAATGAAGAGTTCAGATGCAAAAGCCTCTAAATGCCATTTGAAATTTTCTTCTTTAATGATGATTTTTATCAAACTTGTATATTTTATTTCATTCATTTCACTTAAATAACAATTAATAGGTAATTATCATTGCCATTTAAGTGAAATTACTGAACTTAAATATACAAGTTTGATAAAAATCATCATTAAAGTAGAAAATTTCAAATGGCATTTAGAGGCTTTTGCATCTGAACTCTTCAAATATTGTTTGCAGGCATGATTAACTGAATTACTGTCACTCAAATGAGATTAACCAATAGCAAACCACAACCATCCAATCAATTTCCCATGGACAAAATTAAGTCCCGCCTTACATTTACTCTCGTTCGAGAAGCTATTTCACAGTAGGGAAGACTAAAAAGACTATCAAAACTTCCATTTTTATGCCAACTTTAGAGAATTGAAAGAAAAAAGCTTTTGGAGAAGATGGGTCTTGACAGCCCGTTCTCATCCTTTAGCGTGACATAGAACGCTATATGACAAAACGGCGCTATACTACGCACATGGCAGCCTTTATCGTTAATATAACACGCGAACCCAAGGCGTCATAAATCCTTTAGCGTTTAATATGAGACTACCCTACCCTACACCACACCTAAACCTAACCATCACAGCACGTGTTATACCATGTGCGTAGTATAGCGCCGTTTTGTCATATAGCGTTCTATGTCACGATAAAGGATATCTTGAAATACGTTAAACAGTCCGACATGCTCGTATCTGACGTCTACATCCCCTTCATGACCTAATGTGCCTTTCTTACACACCACGTGTGAATATGTTCCCTAGTAGGCATCCGGAGCGTGCTAAACGCAGTTGGCTTTCGACGCACCGGTTACGGTAGACGATTCGCCGTAGGACACGAGACGAAGAGGCGAATTGCACTCTGCAAGTTAAAGACACGATCCAGAAAATGTGTCATGGGGAAGTTATGAGGCGTTTAAAGACAGTGAAAAGTTTCTCAGACAACATGGGGATTCAAGGATCATTTAGATTCAAGGTTATATCAACAGAGCCCCTCCTCGCCTTTACATATTACCGCTTTTATGAAATCAATTAGAACCGAAGGGAGTGAAGGAATGCTCAAAGAGAATGTTCGGAAAGGTATTAAGGTCAATGGAACTATTCCTTTTCCAAATGGATTTCCAAAACTTCTGGTATGAAACCTTGTTCTGGGAGAAATTACTTGTGTGGATGACAGCGAGCTCATTAGACAGTCTGCATGAGCCACTAGAGAGAATTTATTCTACTTCTCGATGTGTCAATAACAGACTCGAAGGTGAAACCGAGAAACCGCCGTCAGAACGGTGGTGCATTTTTTAACCGCTGTAACTCTCCCCCTCCGTGCGTCTCAAAGCTCTTAGGAGTCTTCTCTTGGCAAAGCCCTGAGACTTCGCTCTCCCTTTAAAAAGGAGGATCAGGAATGTAGGGTAAGATGTCTCATAATGTTGTGTTCTGGAATGATGTTTACAGCAGTAGTCAAGCTGAAAGATGGCCGGTTTGAGGGAAAAATGCCTTTTGTTTAACTTCTCACTGATGTTATCAGACGCCGCCACCTACAGCGCGGGGAGACCTGGGGATGTCAGCTGATTTAGATGTCTGACGGATTGTCTTTCTTTCCCCCCTTTTTATTATTCCTTCCTTTGGGCTGAATAATAGCAGGCCGTATTTTTTTTTTTTTTTTTTAATGGGTGTCCCCTCCAAGCTTGAATTACTCTGGCCAGGCTGATCTGAGAAGATCCTCAAGCTTGCGCGCACGGGAGTGTGTCCGAGTCTGATGATGTTTAATGTTTAATGCAGCGCTGCTGTTTTGGGTTTGCTTTGACTCAAACGCCAATTTTTAGTGATGGGATGAGTAGGAGGGCTGATGCAAGAGGTGATAAGACTTAAAAATATTTTAAAGTTGCTGAAAAATATGTACACATTATTACAACAACCTCACGGCACCACACGTTCTACATGTCCGCAGATAAATCTGTGCTTTTCTCTTTTTTCTCGAAATTACTATCGGCTCTCATTTTTGTGACCATTTCTTGGAAAAGGTAAATGTAAAAATATTTTTAATACAAATATTCCATGTATTTCAATGAATGAGGTCAATTAAACAAATCTTTGAGTCGTTTGGTTCATTCGACGAACGAAATGACTCGAAAAAAGATTCGTTCATTTTGATGAACGAGTTCGAACAGGAGAGTCACGAACGCGCATCAAGGCGAGCATTTGTGCTTATAAAACTTAAACTTTATTTATTTTTGAAATGAGCGATCGTTTCGCTCGATAAGACCCGTATTCATCGTCTGGTGTCGTTTAAAGCCCTTTGAAGCTGCACTGAAACTCTCATTTGGACCTTGAACCGTTTGGTTACCAGTGAAGTCCATTAAATGGAGAAAAATCCTGGAATGTTTTTGTTTTCATCAAAAACCTTAATTTCTTTTCAACTGAAGAAAGAAAGACGTGGACATCTTGGATGACATGGGGGTGAGTAAATTATCAGCAAAAGTTGCTTTTTTTTAAGTTAACTAATCATTTAATTCTTCATGGCTCATATTCAACAAAGTGCTGCAAATATTCCTCAGGGATTTTGGTCCATACTGTCATGATATAGCATCACACAGTTGATCTGATGATTTGATCTTTGTGACTGGAAGAAGCCATCAGAAGATGGCTACACTATCATGAAGAGATCAACATGATCAACAACAATACTCAGGTAGGCTATGATTTCAACTACATGATCCATGATTTCATATTTTTTGCGTCCAAATTCTGCCCCTACCATCTAAATGATGCATGAGAAATCGAGCACATTTTTCCAGTGTTCTTTCGCATGTGAATTGTAGCCTCAGTTTGCTGTTGGTCTTCTGCTGCTGTTGTTCATCTGTTTCTAGGTTGGACATGTTGAGCGTTCAGAGATGCTCTTCTGCAGACTTCGGTTATAACAAGCATTTATTTGAGTTACTGTTGCCTTTCTATCAGCTCGAACCAGTCCGACCATTCTAAATCACCTTTCTTTCCCATTCTGATGCACAGATTGAACTTCAACAGATAGTCTTGTCCATGTCTAAATGCTGCCATGTGA